CGGATGTGCCAGTGCGTTGCGTGACATTCAAACTCTTATTAAGCACCGCGCAAACACAGTCTAATATTAAGCAAAATTCAAGAAAATACAATGATATTTTTCAATAAGACTCTTTTTACTTTTCATTTTTCACTAGCTCAGACATTTGTTATCCGATTTTAAGGCACATTTCTAGCCAGAATTACCGTATATCATTTTAAGCGCATGTAAATTCGACAGCGTAATTTGTTAGAAATACGCAAATTTTGTCGATCACAGACTTCGATAAATTTTCGCTCGCGACAAAACCAGCTCGATACCCGCAGGTTTCACTTCTGATCATGTAAAAATAAGAGTATATTTTGAAAGCCAAGTATAATTTAGCTCAGTTTGAGGTCCCCTTTTCGAAATTTTACATCATATTTTTAGTGCATTTTTGACGCCTCGATAAAAGCTCGAAACAGGGATGTGCTTTAGGCAGTCCAATAAATTTATGTTTCAACCAAATACTTTCAATCTTCTTTGAAGAGTAGATGAAAAGTATCTGAAGTTAACAGTGTAGCTAAAATTTGGAAATACATAATAGTTTTGAGTCGGCAGCTCTCTTAATTTTACCTAAATGCAACCATCGAGTGAGCTCTCCAAATAGCCAGACACGGGCAAAATATGTTTTGACGTGTAACGAAGCCCAAAAATATAATTTCAAAAAAAAACTTTATTTTTAGTTTATGTATACCAAAGGCTTTTCACTCACAAAAAATAAAGAGAATCGATTTTGCGAACACAAATTCACCGGACCGCTCTTAGCGGGAGTGCCACTTAATTGTCATAGCAGGTTAGAAGTTTATTCGCACAATACTAAAGAAACTTCCACCATCCCCAATGATAACACTCTGCTATCGACTTTTCTCTACCTCTGCATCCCACATCATACGCGAGCCCTCTGCTTGGTGTTTCTCATTCAATGCAATGAATTGCGTGTTTGGCTACTTTGAAACCAAGCATTCGGCTGATCACGTGAGCATCTTGTATATTCCACCAATCACTGCACACTACTCCCCAAGAGGCTTTCTCCTCTGAASCAAATATTGTTCATATAATATTCAATTTCATCCGCTATGTCTTCTGTTAGTATCCACAATCACAGAAGAAAATTTTTTTTCGAACAGCAATAGATGAAGGTACTTGATAAACCATATGCAAAAGTGATTGGAACATTACCTCCGTTCATGTGGTAGCTGTTCGTCTAGTGGATGGTAAGACTCCTAAACAGGGACGTGTAGAAGTAAGATACAAAGGTACTTGGGGTACCATATGCAATGATGAATGGGGCATATGGGATGCTTACGTGGTGTGTCACATGTTGAATTACTCCAAGGCAGTTACAGGAACGACTGCTAGCGTCAAAGGAAATGGTCCTATATGGCTTAAAAGGCTTTATTGCACCGGATCCCAAGAATCTATTGATCAGTGTTATCATGCTGGCTGGGGTAACACTGATGGATGTCATCACAGCCGTGATGCTGGAGTGGTATGTGGCAATGCAATTAACGTCAATGTTCGTCTAGTGGATGGTAAGACTACTAACGGGGGACGTGTAGAAGTAAGATACAAAGGTACTTGGGGAACCATATGCAATGAACGATGGGGTATATTGGATGCTTACGTGGTGTGTCACATGTTGAATTACTCCAAGGCAGTTACAGCCACAACTGCTAGCGTCAAAGGAACTGGTCAAATATGGCTTAAAAGGCTTTATTGCTGGGGATCCGAAGAATCTATCGATCAGTGTCTTCATGCTGGCTGGGGTAACACCGGTGGATGTGATCACAGCCATGATGCTGGAGTGGTATGTGGCAATCTAACACCAGGTACAATTAGATAAGTTGCAAAACAAGACATTCCTATGATCTTTGTTTATCTGTTCAATCATGTCAAGAAACAATAATTTTATATCATCAAATGATGATTCTTGCATTAGTTCGTTTTCCATTTTTATCAAATATTCAAGTTACTTTTTGTCACCACGTTTATTAGAAAAGTTATGTATACATAATGTGCACCTTTACTTTCTTAACATCATATCAAGCAATGTAATGGATGTGATTAGAATGTTGGTTGTTTATTGAACACTATTTGTTTCAGAGGAGAAAGCGATCAAAGTTCGTCTGGTGGGAGATCAAAAGTATACTGGTAAAGTAGAAATCCTGTATCAAGGGACCTGGGGAGTAGTNCAAGCAAAAGATCTTCTGTGTAGCTGCAGTTCTGCGGGCTGACTATTGAGGTTCTAGTAAATTACTTCCATTTTTCAATCTAAAGACCCCATATTAATAGACCCTTCAAAGGGCATTAACATCAATGGAATTTTTTGCTATATTTTTCTTGTCTACATTATCCATGTTTGTCCAACTTTTTCACTTACGTTTCAAAATGCGAAGTTATTATAAAACGTGGGGTGAAGAGCATTCTCGACTGGCACTCAAGGATCCGCCGCCTTTCTAAAGCTGATTAGTATAGTTCTGGACGCTTGCTAGACATCATCCTTGCAAATTGATTTTTAACTTCGAGTTTATTGTTAACTCATAAAATTATGCCGTAGAGACTATGCTACTTAATTGTCATAGCAGGTAAGAAGTTTATTCGCACAATACCAAAGAAACTTCCACCTTCCCCAATGATAACACTCTGCTATCGACTTTTCTCTACCTCTGCAAACCACATCATACGCGAGCTTGGTGTTTCTCCTTCAATGCAATGAATTGCGTGTTTGGCTTCTTTGAAACCAAGCATTCGGCAGATCACGTGACCATCTTGTATATTCCACCAATCACTGCACACTACTCCCCAAGAAGCTTTCTCCTCTGAATCAAATATTGTTCATATAATATTCAATTTCATCCGCTATGTCTTCTGTTAGTATCCACAATCACAGAAGAAAACTTTTTCGACAACAATACACGAAGGTACTTGATAAACTATATGCAAAAGTGATTGGAACATTACCTCCGTTCATATGGTAGCTGTTCGTCTAGTGGATGGTAAGACTCCTAAACAGGGACGTGTACAAGTAAGATACAAAGGTACTTGGGGAACCATATGCAATGATGAATGGGGCATATACGATGCTTACGTGGTTTGCCACATATTGAATTACTCCAAGGCAGTTACAGCAACTACTTCTAGCGTCAAAGGGACTGGTCCTATATGGCTTATAGGGCTTCGTTGCTTGGGATCCGAAGAATCTATTGATCAGTGTCGTCATGGTGGCTGGGGTAACACCGGTGGATGTGATCACAGCCGTGATGCAGGAGTGGTATGTGGCAATCTAACACCAGGTACAACTAGATAAGTTGCAAAACAAGACATTCGTATGATCTTTGTTTATCTATTCAATCATGTCAAGAAACAAGAATTTTATATCATCAAATGATGATTCTTGCATTAGTTCGTTTTCCATTTTTATCAAATATTCAAGTTACTTTTTGTCACCACGTTCATTAGAAAAGTTATCCATACATAATGTGCACCGTTACTGTCTTAACATCAAATCAAACAATGTAAGGGATGTGATTAGAATGTTGTTTGTTTATTGAACAATATTTGTTTCAGAGGAGAAAGCGATAAAAGTTCGTCTGGTGGGAGATCAAAACCATACTGGTAAAGTAGAAATCCAGTATCAAGGGACCTGGGGAGTAGTCTGTGATACTTCGTGGGATATACGAGATGCTCAGGTGATCTGCAGAATGCTTGGTTACAAAGCAGCTGAAAACGCCATTCGGTACATTGAAGGAGAGACACCAAGAAGAATACTCATGTATGATGTGGGATGCAGAGGTAGAGAAAAGTCGATAGCAGACTGTGCTCACTCAGGATGGTGGAAGTATTCCTGCTCGAATAACCTTCTAGCTGGTGTGGTTTGTCAGACAAATGAAGGTAAGAAAGACAAATCTCTACTTTACTCTAATCATTTAATTATCATCACATCAAGGCCAATCATCTAAATAGTTCATTTGTTGATCAGATTTAGCTTTAGTAAAGCTCTACTTATTCTCTTTCAAACACTCAGTTGTCCAAGTGTCAGTTGTACAATGACCTCAATGATGTTGGTACAAATCCACAGATCCTCCACCAGTTCAAGTTTGTTTAGCTGGAGGAAGGTCAGTCAATTCTGGTCGACTTGAAGTCAGGTACCATGGTCAGTGGGGTACTGTATGTGATGATGGATGGGACATGAAAGACGCTGAGGTGGTGTGTCGTATGCTTGGTTACTCTGGAGTACAGGAATACATAACCACCAAATTTACACTCGTCAAGGGTATAATATGGCTGAAATACGTTGATTGTACAGGAAGAGAAACGTCGATTGCAGACTGTAGTCGCGGTGAATGGGGTAATGTGTACTGTTACCATGATGAAGACGTTGGCGTGACGTGTATGCAGGATTAATCATGTGTATATGATTATTATTTCAAATTCGGTTTTCTGTTTTTTCATGAATGTTGTTCAACATCTTGTAAAAAAATATTGTAAAATAAGAAGAAGATACATTTATTAAACTATACCGGTGGGAAAGAGTGGGAAAGGCACTTTATTTTTCACGATTAGGTAACAAATATATATACATTTTTAAAGGTCTTTGTATTCGTTGCACAATTCTGCACCATCAGATGAATTTTTGAATTACCATTCCATTAGGAAACCTAAATGGAAAAAACTAACATCATTGTCCTAATCAAATCCAAATAAAGCAATAAGCTATGCTGAATACACGGAAAGTCAAAACGTAAGAGAATAAGATACAATTTATTAGTTTATGAACTCAACGTCTTGTGGATATGGTAAGACTCCTAACGAGGGACTTGTAGAAGTAAGATACAAAGGTACTTGGGGTAACATATGCAATGATGGATGGAACATATGGGATGCTGAGGCTGTGTTCATAATGTATGGCAGAGGGGGGNGGATGGTGGAAGTATTATTGTTCGAATAAACAACTTGCTGGTGTGGTTTGTCAGACAAATGAAGGTAAGAAAGACAAATCTCTACTTTACTCTAATCGTTCAAATATTATCACATCAAAGTCAATCATCTAAATAGTTTATTGTTGATCAGACAAGAGCTTTAGTCAAGCTCTCTTTATTCTCTTTCAAACACTTGTCCTAGTGTCAGTTGTACAATGACCTCAATGATGTTGGTACAAATCCACAGATCCTCCACCAGTTCAAGTTCGTTTAGCTGGCGGAAGGTCAGTCAATTCTGGTCGACTTGAAGTCAGGTACCATGGTCAGTGGGGTACTGTATGTGATGATGGATGGGACATGAAAGACGCTGAGGTGGTGTGTGGTATGCTTGGTTAACCTGGAGTACAGGAATACATAACCACCAACTTTACACCCGTCAAAGGTATAGTGTGGCTGAGAAACGTTGGTTGTACAGGAAGAGAAACGTCGATTGCAGACTGCAGTCACAATGGATGGGGTAATGCAGGCTGTTACCATAGATACGACGTGGGCGTGAAGTGATTTAGTTTAGTCATATGTATATGATAATTATTTAAAACTTGTTTTTTTCTTTGTTCATGCATGTTATTTAACACCATGTAAAGAAGTATCATAAAATAAAATGAAGATACAGGGGTTTATTTAACTTTATTGTATAGCTACGAAATTTTCCGATATAACGAACACTCTCATTGGTTGAAAGATGACCACGTGACAATAGCTAAATCTAAATGTATCCCGAGCGGGAAATAAGTTACTTATTTCCCGGTCGGGAAACAAGTTGCACGTGACAATAATCGTGAAAATAAACAAATGCACGTGATCAGAACGTAAAAGATGCCGGGGGCGTGATATTTGGCATTAATTACAAACAACAAAGCGGGAGCAGATATTTTGCTTGAATTTTCGCAGCAAAACAACACAGATTTTCCAGTGTTTTTACAGAGAAATTACAGACTTTCATTGAGAAAAAGGATTCGGAAAATACGAAAAAAGCGACTGAAAATGCTGTTCCTACTCTCCCGCTCGCTTTTTGGTAGAGAAATACAAGACCGCATGTGAGTTGTATTTGTAAAATCATTTGTCAGATTCATGCATTTAGCTTGCTAAATAAAGTTCTTATTTCGTAAACTGACTTCTCAATATTTTTCAATTCCTATATAACAAAACACTTAATGTCTGGTCCCTCGGGAAAGTAGTTAGTTTTGTTCTCCCTCGAGTCTCGATGTTTTCCTCTGCTTCGCCTCGTTAACTGCATCGAGACTCTCGGGAAAACAAAACTAATTATTTCCTTCGCGATCAGACATGAAATGTATAATATCAGTAGTTAAGAGGGGAAAAAGCACTTCCTTTTCCACAAACATGTATGAAATATATATATATTTAAAGGTCTTCCATGTGTTGCACAATTCTGCAGCATGACCGGATGAAAATTTGAATCTCCATTCAAATATGAAACCTAAATGGAAAAAAAGAATATCACTGTGCTCATCAAATCCAAATAAAGTAATACGCTATGCTGAATACCTGCAAAGTAGAAACCTAATAGAGAATAAGATCGATCAGTAGTACTCATGAATTTATGAATTCCAATTTCACCAATTTTAGAACTCAACGTCTGATGTATAGGTGTTCGTCTAGTGGATGGCAAGACTCCTAACGAGGGACACGTAGAAGAAAGATATAAAGGCACTTGGGGTACCATATGCAATGATATACAATGGGACATATCCGATGCTTATGTGGTATGTCACATGTTGAATTACTCCAAGGCAGTTACAGCAACAACTGCTAGCGTCAAAGGAACTGGTCCTATATGGCTTACAGGACTTGATTGCGGGGGATCCCAAAAATCTATTGATCAGTGTCCTCAAGTTGGCTGGGGTAACACTGATGGATGTGATCACAGTCGTGATGCTGGAGTGGTATGTGGCAATGCAATAAACGTCAATGTTCGTCTAGTGGATGGTAAGACTCCTAACGAGGGAAGTGTAGAAGTAAGATACAAAGGTACTTGGGGTACCATATGCAATGAAGACTGGAACATATGGGATGCTTACGTGGTGTGTCACAAGTTGAACTACTCCAAGGCAGTTACAGCAACAACTGCTAGCGTCAAAGGAACTGGTTCTATATGGCTTAAAGGGCTTCGTTGCTTGGGATACGAAGAAACTGTTGACAAGTGTCGTCATGCTGGCTGGGGTAACACTGGTGGATGCGATCACAGTCGTGATGCTGGAGTGGTATGTGGCAATCTAACACCAGGTAAAACTAAATAAGTTCCAAAACAAAACATTCATATGATCTTCGTTTAACTATTCAATCATGTCAAGAAACAATATTTTAAAATCATCAACTGAAAATTATTGCATTAGTTCGATGCTATTTTTATCAAATATTTAAGTTGCTTTTTGTGACCACGTTGATTAGAATAGCTATCTATATATATTGTGTATCTTTACTCTCTGGACATAAAACCAAGCAATGTATGGGAAGTGGTTAGAATGTTGTTTGCTCATTGAACAATATTTGTTTCAGAGGAGAAAGCGATCAAAGTTCGTCTGGTGGGAGATCAAAACTATACTGGCAAAGTAGAAATCAAGTATCAAGGGACTTGGGGAGTAGTCTGTGATATTTCGTGGGATATACGAGATGCTCACGTGATCTGCCGAATGCTTGGTTACAAAGCAGCTAAACATGCCATTCGGTTCATTGAAGGAGAGACACCAAGAAGAATGCTTATGTCATATGTGGGATGCAGTGGTAGAGAAAAGTCGATAGCAGAGTGTTATCACCCAGGATGGTGGGTTGTCCCTTCATATTGCTCGAATAAAGTTCTTGCTGGTGTGGTTTGTGGTTTGTCAGACAAATGAAGGTAAGAAAGACAAATCTCTACTCTACTCTTATCATTCAAATATCATCACGTCAAAGTCAATCATCTAAATAGTTCATTTGTTGATCAGACAAGAGCTTTAGTAAAGCTAAAATGACTCTATTTCAAACACTTTTCCAAGTGTCAGTTGTACAATGACCTAAATGATGTTGGTACAAATCCACAGATCCTCCACTAGCTCATGTTCGTTTAGCTGGAGGAAAGTCAGTCAATTCTGGTCGACTTGAAGTCAGGTACCATGGTCAGTGGGGTACAGTAGTATAGGGAATGGGGGTTCCAGCGCAATCTCAACACGGG